AACAAAAAACTTTTCCACAAAAAAAAAAAAAAAAAAAACAAAAAAACTTTTTAAAAAAAAAAAAAAAAAAAAAAAAAAAAAAAAAAAAAAAAAAACAGTCGCCAGTAAACTCACTGAAAAATCTGTCAGTACAACTAAAGTACACAAATACAAGAAGACTCCTATGGTTGAGCAGTTTATTTTTCCTGAAAAAAAATCTGACTTTAATCTCAGAATTAAATTTTTTAAAATTAATTATTTCCAGTTTCCAGTTCAATAATGTAAACTTGAATAGTTCTGGGTTATCATGAGGAAATCAAACATAAAACCTGGTCATTGGCAAACCATATAAACTGATCTCCACCTACAGTGTGACCACATACCCAGTACCCTGCTTCTGTCAACAGTGCTGACCAGTCCAGGTCCATGAGACTCCTGAAGGTGTTCTGTGAAGGGACGGTTCTATAGACGGTATCTGTTTGTCAACAACATCCAATGATGGCTGATCTGAAATATTCGGAAACAGGAGGCCAAGACAACACCTTTATCTTGTTGTTGCACTTCTATTGAATCTTCTTTACTTTGTGGAAGGACGCATTATCCAACTGAAAGAGACCACAGCCATTGAGACGTACCGCTTTCACTTTGACTGGTCTGCGCCATACAGACAACACCCTGAGAGACACTGTGCATTCTGGGACTTTCTATCAGGAAGTGGAAGTTCATAAGAAAATCTACAGCTGCTGTAGCTCATCTGTCGGTTGGACCAGCCTTCACTCCCTGTTTACCTCAATGGCTAATCCTCAGCTGCCCAGGGCTCTGTTACCGGTTCACCATTTCTTCTTTTTGAGATCTTGACCACTGCAGACCAGAAACACAACAGACAAGCTGCAGCTTTGGAGATGCACTGACCTAGTCATTCATAGCATTTTCACTCTGGCCCCTTTCCTACCTGCTTCCCCATTTTTTGCTGCGTTTTAACACATCAGCTTAGAGGAAACAAATGCTCCCTTGCTGCCACATCCCACCCAATAGAGTGATAATCATTTTATTCTCTTGACTGGTCATAATACCTGATTGGTGCGTGATAGATCATTTTCTACTTCATAATTTTCAGAGGTTAATAACCGTGTATTCCCAATAATAAGCATCAAGAGCTGCCGCACATATTTTGTTGTCATTAGGACATGACAACAAAACATGTGTGGCAGTCTGTGTTGTGACTCAGCTTTATATATAAACCCACTGTGTACTAATGAAAACAAGCTGCAGGGAAAACCATGCCGGATCAGTTAGAGACATTTGAAGCGTATTAAGCTAACAGCATGTTTGCTTGAAGTGCAGAAAGGCCTCAGCTTAGTTGTGACGCCTTCATTTCTCTGCGCTCCATGTTGGTCTGACGGGCCGATGACAGCGGCGGAGGAGAATGGAGTTTGGCAGCTGATGATGTGAGTCTGTTGGTGAACGGCCCGAGTGAGCAAGATCCCCTGGGTTTCCATATCGGTTCCAGCCAGCCT